CTATCCAAGCTAAAAGAGTAAAGGACTGCAGTTGTTTAAATTCCTAATTTTAGAACACACCCCGGGATGATTGAATGAAAAGAATAAGTTTAGGGTGTGTATCTTTCGAGTGAGGAAATGATATATTTAACCACCATGGGTCGGGAAATAAACCAATCATTAGCTTGATATGTTGACATCAGTTCACACACACGTCGAATTTTACATCTTACAGGTTAAAGTTGATTTTATTTTTACACCATTGAAACTGTTTTTTGTGCTGATTACTGAAGTCCAATCCTGAGACACGGAAGATTGTCAAGCTATGTTTTGTGTAGAGTCAAGTCATTATCTTGTTTGAAAACAAACAATAGTTCAAGTTTGGGGGGTTTGATAAGTCCGTTTTTATACACTTATTCGATCTACAAAAAATGATTAATTGTTGATGAGATTGATTGAATACGTCTTAATTCTATGCAATTTTATTTTGTAGGACTATATGGATTGATGTGATGAAATTTAAGAGAAAAGCTGCGAAAAAATGGCCAAAATGAAAGAAAAAGAAAGTTTAGGGACTAAAGTGTAAATAATCAAAAGTTGAACCAAAAGGCAAATCGAGAATGCAAACAAGTTAAGTATCAACTCAAGGATAACATGGGATGACATAGAGAAGAAAATGATCAAAATGGAAAAGAATTAAAGTTTAGGGACCAAATTATAAATAATCAAAAAATGAGCTGAATGCAGGAACAACGAGGTGAAAGACTCGAGGACCAATTGGTTGAGGAATTGAAGTATTAGGAGAAGAAAATGAGGAAAAGAAATCAAATACACGAGATTGAAAGTTTGAAGGCTTATATGTCACTTTTGAAAGATTTGTGGCCACCATGCGGTCGCATAGTGGCAGGCCGAAAACAAAAGGGGGCTGACTCACACTACCATGTAGTCGTATGGTAATGTACCATGCAATCACTGAAAATGTCAATTAAATGTATTTGATTAGTTTAATTTTCAACTTAAAAAATATTATACTCGTCTATTTTTTATTGGTGGATAGAGAGTGAATAGACGAGAGAGAGAGAGAGAGAATTTTTTGAAAAATAAAATCATACTTCCTCTAAAAAAAATATTTTCTTTAATTTTGGGAAAAATATGGTTACATGACCAAAAGTATATGATATTTTCCATGGAAAAATGGCAATAAAAAAAAGCACAAAAGTATAAATTTAGGTGAAAAAAAAATACATTTTTATGAAAAATATTGACAATCAAACACACCTTTAATGACATATAATGTAGCCTAAACTGGTGTGGTAATAATAATGGTGCTAAACAATATTACTCAAGTGGAGAGCACAATCGAGGAGAAATTGGAGAGCGGTATGGGCCGATGACAACTTCGATAGAGGGAAAAAAAAACTAGTTTCTAGTGGTGATTAGCAAGGTCGGCCCTAGACCCAAGCAAACAACGCTGTTTGCAATGCAGGAAGAAACTACATGGCCCAACAAAAAGATGAATTAAAAATTTATTTAACTACAATTTTTTTTTTTTTTAATCGATTCTAACATAGTTCCTGCTCATTCAAAAATGACCATTTTTCGAGTTTCAATGCATGATTAATTATGAGCTATCAAATGAGTGCAATATTGTTATGGTAATATGGTTTGAAAATTAATATTACACATTAAGTCCCTTACCATAATGAGATATAACCACAATTCGGTTTATTCAAGTTAACTTTTTCTCTAGTTTAGTATATGTCATTTATTACGATTTTTTATATAAGTCCAATATTGGTAGGATAATTCTAGATCTTCCAATAAATAATTATTTGGTCCAAATATATTATTTACTTCGAAACTTAATTTCACTTTAATCCCTCAAATCTCAAAATTATGAAAAAGTTATCGAATCAAAGTCCTTAGAATCTAGTTATGTTTCACATTCCTAAATAATCTTAACTCGTCATATTATCGTCTAAAAATATATATTTCTCACTACTTTTTAATCGAATCCCTAAATTTTGAACTTTTCTTTATCTTTAAAGCCCCATATCGAATTTAAGCTTTGAAAATCACTCTTCTCCATACCATTCACTCTTACAATATTCTCAAGACTTTAAATTACAGTTCTTATGACTTTCTCAAAAACTCGTTAAACTTTCTAAAATTCACTAAATTGTACCTTACTCAAGTTTCTCAATAAATAATTCCTGGAGATTATTACTTATAGTCTAATAATATATTTCATTAAGGGAATAATTCAGCAAAACATTATGTTATCTTAGTCTCTCGAGTTGTCAAAGACCATTTTTTCGTTACTCTATCTTCTGGATTGTACCAAGTTTTCGTTTAGATAAAAATATATTATTTATTTAATTATTTTTACGGTTGAGAAAAAATTCACATTTAAGGGCGTCATAATAATAAATCGTTTAGAACCTCAAAATTCTCAGGATCAGTCCTAATAATTAGAGAGAAAGAAATGTATAGATAATTAGATTTCATTGAAATGCCCTTAGAGCACCTGGAATACTAATGTGGATTTAGCTAAAAATTTTGCACAAGTTAAAATAGACAATATTTATAAATATTCATATCTAATATGTCTAAAATCATGTATGTGACTAAGCAAAGTAAAAAATTGTTAATTAAACTATCTAATTATAAAAGTTTTTCTAGATGGATTTTGCCATCCAGACAAGGCCAAATGACAAGCCTTGTGATTTGAATCTCATTTAAAAAAATGAGATTCAAATCAAGGGACACTTCGACCCTGTTGATTAGCCTGTCATTTCGCCTTGTCACTATAGCAAGTTCCTTTCTAGATTGGGGGTGTAACCATAATTCAATATTTTCCTCTTAGTCGTTTCTCATTTTTCGTTTATCTTAGACTAGAGATGAAATTTGACCTAAGTCTATTCATTAAATACCTTTTCATTTGTATCCCACCTTGATTGCAATCTATTGAGTTCCATGGACATGCTTTAAGAAGTGAGATGAAATTCATTCCGACAAGTGAAAAGAGTAATTTGAGGGAGTTTTTTTTTTTTAGGTTTGGAAATTGAAATTATTAATGGTGCATGTAGCAAATATTATGCCATTTGTACACTCCCTCCTTACACTATGGATGATATTTGTTGTGTTGTTAAAAAAGATTGGTTGAAATTTTACCTTTTTTAAAACTATCCAATTAAACGAGGCAATAAAAATGATGTACACCAATCATGATTGACGTAATAAAAGTATATGTCAAACCACTTTTAAAATGGCAACGCAAAATTGTGATTTGAAGGAATCAATTTCGTCATCGTCGTTATTATTATTATTATTATTATTATTATTATTATTATTATTATTATTATAAAAGTTGCTATTGTTGTTAATGTTATAATTAAAAGTGGATATGTTTAAAAATACATAGTTAAAAATGGTCATTTTGTTCTAGTTCCTGACCTGTAATCTACCAAACGCCCTTTTAGTAAGGTAAAATACTCTTGAATGGTTCACGACTATACCGCAATACTAGCGCAAACGTATACTCTCTGTGCAAATTTTTTTTTTTTTTTTTTTAATTATTACTTTCATTTCATTTGTTATCTTTTTGGCAATGGGGGCTCGAAGCTCGAAAGGATTAAAGCACGAGACATGGGAAAAGATTTTGCACTTCTTGACCGAAAATATTCTTTAAAACTCATTTTTTTCAATTCATAAAATACTTCATTTGTTCAAACAAATACTGTAAAAGTTAAGATTCATTTTTCCACTCCATAAAGTAGGCAAGTTCTTTAAAACTTATTTTCACACTCATTATTGACATAAAATCGTTGAACTGTAACTTTCCTATAACCTTTAATCACATTCTTCAAAAATAAACTTTTCACAAAATTTATTTTAAAAAACCTACATTACATAGACCCGTAATTAATGACAAGACGACTAACAATTGTAGGTCCCATTTTGCATAGAATAATGATATTTGCAGTCGCTCACTGCAACAGTCGCCCTATGTGACATACACATGACAAGTGATTATTTGATGCATTAATGAATAAAAAACTACCACATTAATATATCAAATAATCACATGTAATGTGCATGCCACGTAGAATAATTACCGCAGTGAGCGATTACAAATAGCATTACTCTTTTGCATAACTTTTACTTTTATTTTTGCTTCTTGTAAAAATTTTTTTGAAAGAAGTTACTTTAATTTTTATTTAAAAACTATTATTTAAAAGTACTGCTCATTCTAAAAGTGCTTTTAAAGAAAGCCTTTTCCTCTAAAAACTCTTCTAACTATCAAAAGCACTTTAACAAAATTAACTAAACGGATTCAAAAACAGCTTTTGAGTCTCAAAAGCTCCTTTCAGATTTCAAAAATCATGCCAAATGAATCCTTAATCTATCAAGACTCAAAAATGCACTTTAATAGGTTGAGGATGAGTTTACCGAAAGTCTTGGGTTGGAAACTATTACTGCAGCAATGTTCCCTATTTAGAGCGACTCAAAAGCTGCTTTTGAGTCTCAAAAGCTCCTTTCAAATTTCAAAAATCATGCCAAATGAATCCTTAATCTATCAAGACTCAAAAATGCACTTTAATAGGTTGAGGATGAGTTTACCTAAAGTCTCGGGTTGGAAACTATCACTGCAGCAATGTTCCCTATTTAGAGCACAAGGAGCACCGGAATCTAAACAATCTGAGTTAAGCCATTTTGCCAAATGATTTTTCGCACCTATTTGACGGATGCAATTTTGGCAGCAGATGATTGTATATAAAAACCGACCATTTTTTAAAAAGTCGAATCCGTCACAGAAGTGGACAAAGTATTCTGGCAATGTAACATGATTCAAACAATCCGATCTTGAAGCAATTACGAAACATACAAGATAACTACTTCAGACCAATCAAACCTCGATCCTATCATATTTTAAGCACACTTAACAACTAATAAATCTTGTTCCAACATAAGAAAAAGTCATCTATGGCTCCCTCTCTGCAAGAGGGTAAGAAATTTTGTATGCAAATTTCGCACTCAAACATGTCATTAATTTATATGCAAGATTATAATACAATTTCTCCTCCAGCATAATCTTAGACCACATTGATTACTGCCAGTATTTACATAGTACTTGGCAACTAAATAGGATCTCTTTGTAAAATTCAAATTCACAGAATCTGAAATCAAAATTCAAGTGGGATCAGATTGTACATAACATGCACGGCCACAAGCATATCCATCTTTACTACTACCGTGCCAACTTATAAATACAGTCAAGTTCATTGCTTGCTTTGTCGCCACCCAGGCTGCAAGATCCACCTTCCTTAAAAAAGTTAATAATAAGTTACAAAATTAACAAGTTTTACGTGGAAGGAATGTGCTTCTAACAAGAATAATAGAACAAAAGCACGCCTCTGATAAGAAGATAAGGAGAAACCACCATGAGAGTTCTGCAAGGCCTATGTGGCAAATACGGTGACAATGCAACCATGATGAAGTGTCAGTAAACCAAATTTATACTCTGAAGTTTATTTTTACAGTAAGAAATCTAGTCAGACAAGTTCCTTGAGCAACTGACTATTGAAAATCATGAAAATCAACAACTCTCATGAATGGACAGGATAGTTTTCTGCAAGGAGCCATTATGGAGCCTACATGCAAGTCATGTACATTTAGAGTAAATTAATGTTAAATTCTACACTGTCGACCATCAACAAACTAAAAAAGGAAAAAAGGAGAGACTAAATTAGATATATATTTTGCCTAGGGATAAGGTTGTGTGCGTCATGTTATTTCACCAAGTTGCCCAAGCCTCTTTATCCCATTATGATTCCTCCACAATTTTCATTTAATAATTTTCTAAATCTGAAATAAAGAAGTAATATTTCCAGCATGAATATATAAAACAGTAACATTGTCACAAGCTCCTACTTCAGCCAGCAAAAAAGCCAACTAATTCAGTAATAAACTTTAGTAAGGAAAGGGATCAGCAGGTCTTCCAAATAAAAAACTACCAGAAAAATGTCCATCTTTTACAAAATTTTGCCCAGAACCTTAACAGGGCAAAAAAAAACCTAACTACTTTGTCAGACATACCGGAAAGACCAAAAATATTTTCATTAACTCCAATCATCACAACAATGATTACAAGATCTAATATAAGAATTTGATGTCTTCGATAATTAGTGTAATTGGAAATATTTTAACTCTTGGATACTGTAAAGCTTAAATCATCATCTAACTCAGTATTTACTCGTCTTTATAATTATTTAAAGAATCAATTGCAGGAGCTGCTGGTTTCAATGTGAGAATATGCTACTGGTTTAGAGCTGTCAAAAATCTGTAATGCCTACTATTGCCACCGAAAAAATTCTGAAGTACCCACTAGACACGTAATCTATTAAAATCTCAATTGGGGACCCAGACATCTGAATTTAGAAGGGTTTTTAAAATTCATTAAAGTCTCAATTGAGGACACCCTTGTTAGAACACTCAACATTTGCACCCAATTTGTCGTGACTTCCAGACAAAAACACCTCACAAGAACTGAAGAAACTTCCAAAAATGCTCATTTGCCCACACTTTAGATTTCCCCATAAACCATGTAGATTACCATCAATTAATTCAATGCTATAACCATGAACCTCGCTCTTATAATAGTCATGACACTTACCATAAAAAGTGAGAAGATTTGAGTATTACCTTTTGTTTTGCGCAGTGTTTTTCACTTTGCAACAGGAAAACCATGTGAGAAAAGGAAAAAAAAAACTAAATCATTAAACGGTGGTCACCAACACTTCAGAGACTACCGTATACCTGGTGCGTCAATCTGTTCAGTCCTGCCAACTGTTACTAACGTCATTTCTCAACTAACCATATACAATCAGATAAACACCTCAAAATTCTCGCCCTACACTAAAGGTTATATACTCCTCTCCCCACCCCTTTATTTACTCTCTCCCCTCTGGTTTTCTTTTTGTGAGCGAATATGGAGAAACAGGATATGAAAGTTTTGAACGAAGGGAATGAAAACCTGAAGAGTCAAGAAGATAACTCAAAGGAGGTTCATACTGTAATGGATATCCATGAACATGACAACACAGAGATGAGTGAGGTAAGCACACATTCTGCTAAGGAAAACGCTATGCCCCAGACTATGATGCAGGAAACAGACTTAGATACGAAGTACTTTGAAGAGCTGGGAATGATAGAAAAATTAGATGACTGTCAGATGTATGAAAAGAGCATCATAAATTATGAAGCTCTTTTGTTGAGTAGCTTGCTGGAGAGTGAGAATCCATTGATTTGGAATGGCTGGCCCGACGCTGACGAGTATGTGAAAAAGTGGCTCAAGTGTCCAATGGACATGGAGATCAAATTGAAGAGCACAGCCGGGTTAGAGAGCAACAAAGAGAGTTTAGTAGGGTTGGAAAACTGGTTCGAAACTTCAGTGGATGAGGAAATGTGGCAGGTCCCTTGGGCTTTTGAGCAGGACGAGGTTATGTTTGGTTGGATCTGGAACACACACACAGAGACAGCTTAGGAGCTTTGTGGAGGATGTTGAAGCACAATTGGAATTTGATTTTATGAACTGAACATCAAATCAATTTCTATTGAGTGGAGAGAAAAATGCTACCGGTGGTGTAAGCATCTTTTTAGATTGTGATCATAATCTTTTCTTGTTTGCTATGACAAGAAGTTGGGTTTATGTTGACTTATAAAATAAAGGAGTCAATATGTTTTACTCCATGCATTCACATGATAAGTTAACTGTAACTTGCTACTTTGATGTCTAGGAATGCCCTGTAATTTATGCATATAACTGCTCTAAATAAATTTCTTAATACTCCCATCACTTGTTAAAAAAATGGTGATTTGGTTGTTATAGCCTTATAGGTGTAATTTTATAACTTCACCATTCTAAGTAAGCTTACAAGTTACCACTGGAAAAAAGTAACAGGATACAATTTCTTCAAAATTGTTAATATTATAATTCAAATAAATAGATCATCCAATGATGAATTTTTTTATAATTTGTCGATTGCAATTTATAAATTTTTTGACCTTAATTTAATACTTAGGCATCATCTAATGTGTATTATAAGCAGTCGAAAGCATATATTCAGAATTTGCTTGAATCAAGGTTTTATGTTCCTTAACTTTTTGCTTTAGTTGTCAAGGAGTTTATGAGATGTATCCAAGATGATATTCATTATACGATATTTCTTGATAATACAAGAAAAACAGTCTTTTAGATCATTAGAACTTTGAAGTAGTACTTTGAAATCTAAAAGTTTAGGTTAAGTAAAACTAGAATAGATATGTGAAACGTCGTTTAGCGACAAGCATGATAGCGGAGTCACAGTATAGAATCGTGCTGTCCAAAAGTGTGAGTGCCTTACGTATTTTGGTTCCATTATTAACTTTGAATGAGGACTTGACACGGATGTAACGCATAAGATTATGGCAAGTTGGTTAAAAGATACCTACAAAATTAATGATTACTTGACAAACTATGCTTGCTTTGTGCTGAGTAATTGAAGATTTGAGGACAAAATATCCAATCCTTAAGATGAATGTAAAGAAAACGAGAGGTTAAGATAGATGTGTGGCTCTTCTAAAATGGATAAAACTAACACATAAGAATACACACCGTGAACTAGAAGTGGTGCCGTGTTTGGTTAATTAAAAGAAGAATGACTTAGATATGCACCGTAAAATAGAAGTGGTGCTACTTTTGGTTAATTAAAAGAAGAATGACTTGGATCATTGAGACAGTTCTTACATTGACTTCACATGATGTGATCCAAGCAGAAATGTTAAACGAGGGAAAGGAAGACCAAAATTAATAACGAGGAAGAGATATAGACCAAAATTAATATGGCAAGATGTAGTTGGAAAGGACTGACGTCTCAATGGATCTTCCAATAGTACAGCAAGCATCGAATGAAATAATTAAAACTAAATTACGTAGCCGACCCCAAATTTGTTAAAGAGAGGGCTTAGTTTGTTGTTGTCATAAACCTTGATCTATCGCTTCACTAGAATTTTCCCAAAAAAAATAATAATAATAATAAATCCTTCAATGTGTATAAATTAACTATTAATTTCTAACCATCGGCTATTAAAGAAAATGTTAGTATTTAGAATTATATGATTATATATCTTCCAAGAGAAATTTAAGAGTTTTTCTCTATAATATTCTGATACCAAAAAGATTATCATACCAAAAAATTGTAACAAATATCAAAGCAAGCAGAAACGCCAAACTAATTTTTATCACAGTTTTTCGAACCTCTCTTTGATAATAATCTAGAAGACATGTATCTCTGAATTTTGACAGGTGAAAAGGAGAGTTCTGCAGACATAAAGAGACCTTGATATAAGGATAATATCAATGGATCATAAAGGGGAACATTTTTTTTAATGCTTGAACTAAAATTGGATTTATTTTAATTTGACGTTAAAGGTAATCACGAATCCATATGAACTGACACGTAGGATGAAATTGCTCTTCTAATGCAATAAAAATAGGATAATAAAAGGTTTGACTACACCAACCTCGTTAATTTCTGCCCATTTAGTCAAAGATTGCGGCATTCCTCATCTGTAAAAGGATCACAATATAGATTGGTTCTACCTGAGGAATAATTATCTCAATTAGAAATGAATGACAACCAAATATAATTAGGAAATATAGCATGATGGGGAGCAAGACTAGAGACCTATTTCAAACTTGGGGCATAAGGAGCTGGACATGGAGATATAAAATGATCAGGTAACTCGTTTATCAGGTCTAATGTGGCCTGCAAACATGCATTCAAAATTTTCTTTTCCAGCCTGACAAGTTGTGTGGCTACTCGTCTTTTTGGATTCAAATTACAATCTGCCAGCTATAACAAGTGAAAGATATAAACTGAACGGATCATAATGAAATTCAAATTACTGAAGAAATTCAAGGAAGGTTACCAAAGCCTCATCTTCAACAATAGTAGTAGGGTAACCAGCAAGCCTTCCTTCAAAATAACCAGCAAGCTGGTCCAAAACTGCTCGCTCCATACAAGGACTCGCCTATGTTCATCATCGAAAGTTACAGAGTGAAAAAGAAAAATCATTTTATATGTAACCCAAGCATGCAAGATATATACCATTTTCTTTTCACTTTCTTTGTCCAGAATATGAGTCACCTGTTGTGCACGTGTCTTTAAGAAAATATAAATTTTGGAGAACTCATTCGATTTTCATTTCATCATGTGATTTCCTTGTATCTAAGTTCAAATTCAGAGCGATACATCTTCACAGTATAACTATTCCTTTTACCAGGGTAAAAACGAAATTTATTCTTCAAATTAATTTAACTCAGGATTTCAAATAAGAACCCCTTTTACTGGGAAGTGTGTGAAACCTGAAAATGAAAGTGTGGACCACTATACATATCTTTGCAATCAGATTTTAATTACGCAGAGATTCTTTCATTTCTCATCCAGAAAAATCTCTTGGATATGAGAAAACTGCCTCAAGCTAATTTAGCCCTTGTTTGGGGGAAAATGTGTTTTTAAATGGAAATTTTTTGGAGAATGTGTGGTTTAAAATAAAGAAAAGTTTTGAGTTTACGTGCAAAATTATTTTGTGGAAAAATGTGCGGTTGAAAATGAGTTCTGAAAAGATGAGTTTTTGGAAAAATGGAGGCCAAACATAGGCTTAAACTCATCATCCATTGTTGATTAAAATGTATCCATCAACCCAAACATAAAAATTCAACTTCATCTTATGTTTCTTCTTAACTTATACAGGTGACCTATCTAGAAGGAAGTTTTCAAGAGTTGGGGCAATTGAAATTTCCCTACTAATCCACATCAATGCGAGCAAGCACATCATTTACGATCAAGAGAAAGAGCTTTATTTAGAACTTCATATCAGATTTCGGCATTTTACAGAGAGAAACTCATGGAAAGTAGAATATAAAAGCTTCAACAAATTTGAACAATACATAGCAATGCAGATTCATCAACATTTCAAAGGAGGAGGAATTGAGAACAAAAAAGCCTAGTATACAATGTCAAGCAACGGTGCAAATAGCCCGAAGTTACTCGACTGCCAAATGGAAGCAAAAGATAATTAAGCATCTACAAGGCTAATGTATCACAAAAAACAGCTCCCTAAATTTTTTTATTATTATCTATTCATTTTAGCAGACTTAGGACTGCATTCACCGATATAGGCGTCACTCCATGACAGCCATTAAATCATATTCAAGGTACCCTCAAAGAATGAGTCTGAGGATGAGGGTGCTTAAAAAGCCTTTCCACTGCCTCCAAATGCTTGTTGCTCCAAGGGTGAACCCCGAGATGAGTCTCAGAATTTCCTTGAGGTCTATTTATATATCTGGTAAAATGAAAAGGGGAGGTTATTCCCCCAGCCTGTGTGTTTATATCGTTGCGTATACTAGCAGTTAGATGCTCCACACCCATCTAAAATTATATGCTCTGTTTCATAAACTGTAAATGAAGAATAACAACACAAGCGTACCGGACAAATTGGACCTTGTGAAGATAGAACAGATTGCATCTCTGAAGGATCAGAAACATATCCCAATCGCAGATAAGGAAGCATGTCTAGTATAGCATCTCTTTCTTTTCCTACATGCACCTGTATTGAGGGTTGTGTTATATAACTTGCCAAAATTGTTACAGATGGATTGATAACAAGCGATGATTCGTACACGAAAAAATTGTACAGATAATTTTCCATTCCTTTGAGCAGCCAATCTCTTGTCCTGATACTGAGGATCCTCTGTATTTAAAGCGGCCTGAATAGCAAAAGAAAGGTGATTCATTGATAATAAAGATTGCAGGGAGAATTGAGTGGACTCCGAAATTTACCTCAATCACCATGCGATCATAAGAATTATCTTCATCAACAAAACCATAATTTATGAGTAATTTAGAATTAGGTTGTGGTCCGCACCTACAAAGAGAATAAAATTTTAATATCAAAAGCTAAAAATAAGATATGAATAAGCAACAAAGAATTTGGAAAGAACCTTTTTTGTTGACAAGAAGAACGAAAATCCAGTCACATAACCTAAATTATTAACAGGCTAGGTAGGAAGGAAGAGACAGACAGTGATACCAGACAACAATGGGCTCCCCAGTTTTGTAGGGACGGTCAACAACCAGTTGCACCGCACCGTCAGCAGCAGTTAGCATTGCCTTGCAGTTGCTTCTATAGGATAACAGCGGTGGTCCTAGAGGGACCAAAGCAAATCTCCGGGCCAAACTGACTTTCTGGGTTGACAAAGGAGTTGGAATTAACTATATAGCATTCCTTACAATGTTGGACTAATGTTCCACTCTCTTGTGTGTTGAGCTTACTTCAGTGTTTATAATTATACTGAGGTAATCTGCAAAAGTACCATTTCCACAACATTGTAAACCTACCTGCAAATGCACCACACAGGATTGAACTGCAACGAAAGCTTGTTTGAAAATCTCAAAAGGGAATGCCTCTGTGGGTATATCATATGGATATTGCTGCACAATACAAAATAATTAAATAATCTTCAGAACTGAAAATAATGACTGACCAGTAGTGAGAAAACACTGAATTTAGAACTTTTCCAGGGCACACTAGCATAGAAATGTTAGCTTCGACACTAAAGATATTAACCTGAAACAAAGACCCAGCCATGAACCAAACTGTGTCGAGCTCATTATACTCTCTTTTGATTCCTTCAGCCCTCTCCAGAATTTCAGCCTGAATTATCAACAATATCCCATCTAAGAACTAAAGGTTATCGCATAATTTCCATAACAGCACACATGATAAACCTTGTTAACATTTGGCTTCAACATAGAGCAGAGCAATGACATACCTTTGTAGGACTTCCTGTCAAATAATTTAGTTCAGAATCCGACCACAAAAGCGGTGATTCCACCGCTAACTGCCCCCGACCTCGCTGACGATCAAGTTCTTTTATATATGGATACCAGAAAGATTTTTTTCCTTGTTTCTTCTCGTACATTAGATATAGTGCCAGGCAGGCTAGTTCTGAGAGTTTGTTTGTGGTTAAGAGTTCCGCTGCATATGTAAAACTCAAGCTATGTTCAACTTCAATCAAATTGCAGGACTTTAATAGCCAAATGCAATAGAGAAAAGCATTTCAGACGCAAAATCTAAATTACACACAGAAGAAAAAGATCTATACATGCCTATTGATTCCATTAGGAAAGCACTGGTAAGCAATAGAGAAAGCAAAAGCAAGTTACCAGTGACTGACATGAATGCAAAGTCTATGTCACATTTTTCTATTACACCCTCCAACGAGAAATCACGTTGTTATTAAGAATAATTCGGTTTATATAGATCCATAATAATACGAAAGCAAAGAAAAATGCACCAACATGAACAACTAATTCATAGAAATAATCTCAAGATATGTTTACTCTCTACTCCATGCGAGCCAGATTCTATAATATTCTCTTGGTACCAGCAAAAAAAAAATATTTAAAATGAGTTAGAAAATTAAGAATCAATTAAAAGGAACTTTATACTTCTACAGCATACAAATAACAGCAGATGCATACACGTCCTTGTTCAACATTCATTATTGAACTTTTTCCTAATGGACAGCAGTAGCAACCAGTAGCATTTCCTAACGTTTCAGCAAAAACAAAAATGTGCATTTTATCGGGAAAATGCACCATATTTGGGTCTGAACTTCTATTAGGAGTAGCACTTGTTACATGTTACAAGTTTCAATAAATGTCAGCACAAAAATGAAGCAGAATCCATAAAATTCACCACAGCACCTTACCAATGGTCTCGTTCCCCAGAACTCTTTCCAGAGTCACCACCAATGTATTCGGTACAGAAAAAGCAACATCACCTTCCTAAAATAAACAAAAATACAAAATTAACTACTTCCATCCCATGTTTAGCTATGCCTAAAAAATGAATTTTACCTCTAAGAAACATTTTGTTGTTTGGTTACTTCCTCATATATATATATATATATTTTTTTTTTTTCTTTTAAGTAAATATAATTACTCTCTTCGAAATAACTCAGTATATATAAATTGCTCTTGTTTGACCTTGCTTCAAATAAAAGATGAAAAAAGCCCCTACCAAACATTTTATTTGCCAACTTTAAACAATAAAGGATAAAATAAAGCATCTGTTTAAAATTTAAATTTTTACTTAAAAGCAAACATTTTGATCTTAGCTAAACACGCTCTAAAGCATCAAGGACATTACAAACTCAACCGTGATTCATTAACCTGAAGATCCTCACTTGCAGCTACGTAGTGAATCGGGCGATGGTTTGAATCATGAGAAGACCTCTCTTTGAGCACAACCTTGCAAGGGGGGAGCCCATTCCTATGCATCCAAGATTTCAAGTCTCCATACTCTTCGTCGTTCTTCAAGCCCAAAATTCCACTCGATTTCCTCTCCTTATTCATCTTTCCCGCCACCATTGTGTCAGAATTCGAAGCTAAACACATCTTTGTACCAACACTGTACGATTTCACATTTTTCGATTTTTTACTGAATGAAATGGAAACCCGGGAATCAGAAAGGAGTGGATAGTAAGCCGGAAGGTGACATGGAGAACGAGTATTTTGTAAATAGGACACGTCCATGGATTGGAGAGGAAGGTTTCCAACTAAATTATAGCATATATTTTTCGATTAATTGCTAGGGTTTCGATGAAGGATTACAGTTGGAATTTGTGAAAATGATTTTTGAGGTCAGCTGTTTAGGTTGAGTGAAGATGAAGATATTTTATTGGATTGTAGCTCTGGAAAAACTACTGATATTTTGCCCATCTTTGAGCCCATTCTTATTAAAAAATCATTTTTTCTAAATTGATTTTCAAGTAAGCATTTTTCAATAAAATAATATTTTAAGTAAATTTAAAAAAAATTTATAATTTTTAATTACATGTTTTTCATTAATATACTATTCAAAATACATTCACTCCCGAAAAATAGGGCTCAAACACACTCTTTGCTTTTAACACATTTAGATTTCTCCTCTATTTTATTTCTCAGTCTATAAAGTTGAACTTATTTCTATTTTTTATAATATTCCAACATTAAATAATAATTTAAATAAAATTAATTTCTATTCGTTAATAAAAAGGTACATTAAATATGAATATATTACAAACCTAAAAAATATATGAGCATTGCAAGCATAGATACCCTACCAATACGGGAAGCCACTTGCCCCCTTGTTTGGACAGAATTCTGTTCAAGTAAAATTATTCAATATATATATATATAAGGAAAGTAACATATAATTGGGATAGACGAAAAAGAAAACCATATTTATGGGATGTCTGTATAATTTTTAAAAATAATGTTACTTGTATATAAAGAGTTACATAATAGCTTACTTACAAATGAGGTCAAAAAGAAAGTGTGGAAGTTTTTTATTATTTAATTGAAAAAATTCTGTACAATCATATCTCACTACATATGTAAATCATTATTTAAATTATTATGTATATGTAGCGCAATCAAATTTTTAATATAACAATGGTCAATCAATTTATGGTTGTACTACATGTACATAATAGTTTACATAAATATGATGTGGTGATATATGATTAGATCATAATTTCTTATTATTTGAATAGTGTAAGAAGTAGAGTACTGAAATTTGCAACTTATTAAATAGCAATTATCATACATTAAGAATAAAGAACGAATTTGAATATTCAAATTTGAAGAGTTCTATTTAAAAAGTTAGAATAGTTAGTCTCTTAAAACTTATTTTTAAACATTATCACTTAAAAATAAAAAGTATTTTGCATTTAAAGAAGGAAAAATTCATAATTAAGAGGCTAAGTATTATCCATTTCAAAACTAAGAACAAATGTTTCAAATTTCAAAAATTAGATATTGATTAAAATTAATTTATGATTTAATTAATTATATATTTTATTAATTAAATATAAATGTCACAGATTTATACAATTTGATCACAAATTAACAATTTAGTTAGTCGCATATTATTTTCAATCATAAATCAAAGCTTTTATATATCACAAATTATTTTCGATTACAATTCAAAAATTTTATAAGTCACAATTTGTTAATCAGTCACAAATCAAATTTATAAGTCACAATTTATTTATCGGTCACAAATCACAAATATTAAAAGTCACAACTTATTATATAGTCACAAATTATTGATCACATATTAACAATTTTTTAGATTACACATTATTTATTGGTCAAAATTTCATCTTTTTCTTTGGTTACACATTGTTTATTGGTCACAAACTAACCAATTTAATAGTCACAATCAACCAAGTAATTTGTGATCACCACCAACACTTGCAACCACCATCTCACCATTACCTCCAGCAACAACACCACCACCACCACCATTACAACCACCTCCCGACCGCAACACTACTACCTAAAAAACAAATCAACACATCACAGAAAACACCACCATATCATCACGCCAGATCCACCAACACCCTTGACGACCCATTACCACCAACATCTCACCATTACCACCGCAACCATTATCTTGACCACCACCATCGCAAATATTTATCACAACTAGCGCCATCACTCCAATAACCAAAACTACCACTCTCCACCGCAACCACCAGATCTACCACCATCATCACAATTGCGTGGATCTGTCAGATCCACCTACTCACCGCAACCGTTAGATCCACTACCATCACCACAAATAGTGCAGATTCGCCATATCCACCACTGCACCACAACCTACCACCCCATCGCATCTGCCTGATCACCACAACCGTGCAAATCCACCACCACCACAAGAACACCACCAAACAAATCAAATCCAAAATTATCATAGCCACTACCACGACCACGACCCCACCAGTACCATTGTCGAGAAGAGGATGAGAGGAAGAGGGCAAGAAACCAGTAGAGGCGGTGGATGCACAGCGCAACTTTGGCATGCAGTGACGATGACCTCGTCGTGTAGAGTCGTCGTTGAGACAGTAAGAAATGAAGAAGGTAAATAAGATTTGTAAAAATAAAATAGGGTTTTTTGGGTTCGGGTGGTTGTGCTGTATTAATTATATTTAATAATATCATTAGGATTAAATATTTAATTATGATTTGAATTAATATCTAATTTTCATATGAATAAACTTTGGATATGATTTTTGAAATTGGATCTTGAAAGATATGAAAGGGTGAAATTTCCACTTTAAAGAATATCTTAAAAATATTTAATTAGTCAATGTCTTTCCGTGTCATACATTTCTAATTTACAATTCTTCACAATTTCTTCAACATGTTATTTTCCATTTCTTAAAGAGAAATTGTTTTATCGTATTACCGATGATTCTTAATCAAATCCTACTCGACCATGGCTCCTTATTATCGGAATGCTACAAAATTTTGGAATTTTGATTTTCTTACCATTTTTACCAATGAATAATTTAAAAACAAAAGGCAAAAGAATATAACTCAACCCCAATTAGTGGAAGATGGCTGGTTCCAAAATAGCCAAAGCCAAGTTCCAAAGAAAAAAAAAAAAAAGGGAAAAGCAAAAATGTTTAAAAACTTGAAAAGCAATGAAAATGCAATTTTACTCTCAATTGTGAAGAGAGAAAAGCGTGGTGCTACTATAGCAACCGACCGAAGACTCAAGCACTGACCAAGATGCCAAAAAACTAACGACTCAAAACGCTATTTCTCTGACTTTGAAGAAGGTAAGCTTTGATTTTTGACTGGAAATCATTTTTCTATGTATATTTGTTGAGAAATCTGTATAAAAATGATTGTAGATTGTATTTTGCGCAGGTAGTATATATGTTGAAGCAAAAAAGTGGCAGAGATCGCCATTTCTTCAGCCACCTATGTAATCGTAGGTGATGAACGGAGACGACAGGCCAATCGCTTCTGGGGGTTTCCAGACAGCACAGTCGTCTGGAAGTTTTTTCTTTTTTATAATTAGTTTTTAATTATTTGTGTTTAATTATTTTAGTTTAATACTTATTTAATTTTAGGGAATTTTAAAACAATTCAATATTATATGAACAATTAAATAATTAAAATAAATTAATTAATACAATGAATTAAAAATACTAAGCAAATAATATACATACACAATTAAAAATTAGTAATTAAAACATTAAAATAAACGATTAAATTAAGTATTAATCAAGCAATTAAAATAAATAATATACATAAACAATTAAAATAATTGATGAAATGTTTAAATAAACAATTAAACTAAGTATTACAAAATAATTAAATTTGGCAATGAAAATTAGTAATTAGAATATTAACATAAACAATTAAAGTGAGCATTAATAAATAATTAATCTAAGCAATTAAAATTAGTAATTAAGATAAATAATTATATATTAAATATATAATATACATAAACAAATGAAATAATTATTTAAACATTAAAATAAAAAATTAAAGTAAGTATTATAAAAATAATTAAATTAAGCAATTAAAATTAGTAATGAAAATATTAACATAAACAATTAAATTGAGTATTAATAAGATAATTTAATTAAGCAACTAAAATTAGTAATTAAGATAAATAATTAAATATTAAATATATAATATACATAAACAATTAAAATAATTATTTAAATTTTAAAATAAACAATTAAATTAAGTATTAAAAATAATTAAGTTAAGCAATTAAAATTAGTAATAAGATAACTAATTAAATATTAAATATGTAATATACATAAACAATTAAAATAATTATTTAAATGTTAAAATAAACAATTAAATTAGTTATTAAAAATAATTAAATTAAGTAATTAAAATTAGTAATTAAGATAAGTAATTAAATATTAAATATATTATATGCATAAACAATTAAAACAATAAATGAAATGTTTAAATAAAAATTAAATTAAGTATTAATAATATAATTAAATAATTAATTAAATTAAGCAATTAAAATTAGTAAGTAAATATTAATATAAACAATTAAATTAAATATTAATTAAATAATTAAATTAAGCAATTAATAATTAATAATTAAAATAAACAATTAAATATTAAACAATTAAAATAATTAATATAATATTTAAATAAGAAATTAAAAAGTATTAATAAAATAATTAAATTAAGCAATTAAAATAAATAATTAAAATATTAATATAAACAAATAAATTATGAAGAAATTAAATAAATAAATTATGTAAAGAATTAAATACTAAACAAATAATGTACATAAACATAATTATTTAAATATAAAAATAAATAGTTAAATTAAATATTAATAAAATAATTAATATTTTTTTATGTTCATTTCCTTTATTCCATTATTTGTTAATTGTTGCGTATTGTAACAAGTTATTAGTTTAATTTTCTAATATTATTTTTTATCCATTATCTCTTGCACATGGTTCTAATATTTGAAATTTTGCAGGATGGAATATTATTTGGATGACGCTGTCAGACAGATCCCCAATAAAGTTATGTCGAACTGTAACTTTGCCAACTTCACTTCGGTATCAGATTTGCTGGATGATGAGCACGCAGATATACTACATAATTCCTACTTATGGCCCCTGTATTGCGCAATGTAGAGTTTTCAGGATAGCTACTCAATGCGTTGCTATTTCGGCTACTTAAACCAATTGATGGAGATGCCCTCCATTTTGATCTTGGGGGCAAGGTAGCGACATTATCCATATTCGAGTTTTCCCTCATCACCAGACTACGATGTACGGACGAAAAAGCAGAGAGGGCTCGTATTCTGACGAATAGGAGGCTGTTGAATGAATATTTTCATGGACGGATGACAGTTATTTTGGCGCAGTTGGGAAAAGCAT